AGACCGTGATCGGTGATCACCGATCATACACTTTTTCACGGAAATCGGCTGATTATGATCGGTGGCCGATCGATCGGCACACTTCTAGTTTAAACGTATCCAGTTCAGGTTTGATCAATCTAAGCATTTTAGATTTTGAACAATCTAGTCCAGATTCCTCTAAAAACTGAGAAACCTTTTAGCATTTTCCATCTGCAAGTTGGTAAACTGGCCAGATTGGCTAATAGCTCTGGTGTTGCATTTTTCTTCATTTTAGGTATTCAAACTCTAAAAGAACTATATTATCAAAAAGTGGCCGTATAGTTGTAGTAGTAAGTGTGTGTTTTATTTATTGTAATACAAACTGTCATAAGTGTTACTTTGCAATTTTGACTATTATGCTTTTAGCAGCCATATTGGACGTTAACCTTAAGAATGCCATAATGATCATCGTTACATTTGGAGGAAAAACAGGGACATTGTACCATCCCAACCGCGAAGTACGGGGGTGGCAGCATCATGTCGTGGGGTTGTTTTGCTGCAGGAGGAACTGGTGCACTTCATGAAATAAATTATGTGGAAATACTGAAGCAACATCAGCCAGAAAGTTACAACTTTGGTCCAAATGGACCCAAACCATAAAGTTCAGAGGCAAAGATACCAAATACCAATATGTAAAGTAGAGGCGTGTGATACTTGGTATATGGAAATGTAGTATCACTAATACCAATATTCATTATTTAATGATCCCATATTGATAGTAACTTGGCATTGACACTGATATTTTGGATTTATCCACCGACCTCTACACTGCAAAAACACAAAACCTTTCCAAGTATTTCTGATCTAGTTTCTAGTGCAAATATCTTAGTACGCTTGAAATAAGACAAAACTAACTCAACATAACTTTTCAGAGATACAGAAGCTTGTTTTAAGTAAGCAATTTCTTAATATTGATAAAGTTCCACTGGCAGATTATTTAACATGGGAGAAATATATTTTTAGAAGTGAAATAATTTCCCATATTGATGACTAGAAGTCATCAATATGGGACTAGAAGTCATCAATATGAAGGAATTACTGACTTAAAATAAGCTCCTATGTCTTGCAGGAAGGTTTCTTGTAAGTTAGTTTTGCCTCATTTCTAATGTATCAAGATATCTGAACTGGAAACTTGACCAAAGACACTTGGTAAGATTTGGTGTTTTTGCCATGTAATATAAACTTCTGATTTTGAAGGCATTAACAAATACATTTCTGGTAAATTCTTTTAATATTCTGTCATTTGGAAAACATAAATATTTTTGATTTCAGCTACATACCACATCAGAAAAGTCTGGATGATCTTTCTGGCTTTGATTCGAGCCTTCACCTGAACATTGTGAGCGATTGGCCTGACCTTTGACCTGTCTCGTGTGCTAATTTACGTGACTGTAGGAGTGGGCAACATGTGATGACAAAAGTGATGATAAAAACTATTTGTTACTTCTTTTTTACTGATTCAGAAAAATGTAACACGCTTCTTTAGGACACCATCATAAATAAGTGTGGTTTTTATCACTAAACTGCATATATTACACTGCAAAAACATCTTACCAAGTATTTTTGGTTTAGTTTCTGGTGCAAATATTTCAGTACACTTGAAATAAAACAAAAACTTGCAAGTAATTTTTTTTAGCATAATATTGGTGCTGGTTTAAGTCAATAATTCCTGAATATTGTGCTGGTTCGACTGGCAGATTATTTTACTTATAACACATTTTTCACAATTAATAAGTGAAATAATCTGCCACTGAAACTAGTAACGTTTTTCAAATAAATATGAATTATTGACCCAAAACAAATTCTTATATCTTAGTGAAAAGTTAGTTGTTAGTTAGTTTTGTCTTATTTTAAGTGTATTAAGACATTTGCACCAGATACTAGATCAGCTGGCAACTTGTGTAAAAACACAAAACCTTTCCAAGTATTTTTGTGAAGTTTTAAGTTCAAATATCTTACTACACGTGAAATAAAACAAAACTAACTTAAAAGTAAAATTTCATCAAGATATAAGCGCTTAAGATTAGCGCTTATATCTTGATGAAATTTTACTTTATTAAGTCAATATTAAGTTATTGATATTAAGTCAATAATTCCTTAATATTGATTTTTAAAAATTACTAGTTCCAGTGGGAGATTATTTCACTTATAACAGGGAAAAATGTCATAAGTGAAATAATCTGCCAGGGGAACTAGTATTTAAAAAAAAAAAATCAATATTAACAAATTATTGGCCTAAAATAAACACTGACATCTTACTGAAAAATCACTTCTGAGGTAGTTTTATCTTATTTAAAGTATTTTCACTTGAATCTAGACCAAAAATACTTGGTAATATTTTGTATTTTTGTGCAATTAATTATATTTTTAAATTAACTGATAGTCTCATTGAACAAAGAGTGGAGAAAAAAATAAATTTAACAATTCAGGCAATTCAGAGAATTTATTTTTTGAACAATTAATCAGAATTTATCGTGATAACGCCAAATCAAAATTCTTTTCACAATAAACGATACGATAAATGCCCACCCCTACGTGAGAGCATGGCGATGAATTTGGTAGTGATGAAAAGAGCTTATTAAAATCATGGAAAGGTGTCTGCAGTTTAAAAAAAAAAGATAAAGGAGTGGAAGAAGGGTCTGCGTGTTGGTTGAGGTGAGTTTGAGGGAGGGGTTGCATTCAGGAAGAGGCGGAAAACTTACCTCACACTACAGCCATGCCAGAGGGAGCAGAATACAGAAGAGAGCAGAGGTTAGAGCGCGAGAGGGGATGGGCAGGAGGTGGGGACTGCTGTCTTGTAGAAAGGTCTGGGGGGGAAGGAGCCCCAGTCTGGGGAGGCAGAGGCCCGGAGTGGGGGAGAGAGGAAGGCAGAGAGGTAGTCAGAAGTGTGAGGAAGCAGGAGAGAGAGAAAATGGGAAGAAAACATGAGACAGCAGAGAGGTAACAAAAATGAAGACAACCAAAAAAGAAGGAAGGAGAGAGAAAGATTTGCAGGAGAGATCCATTCATTGAGAAGGATTGAAGAAAAGAGAGAAAGGACGGTGGGAAAAAGTTTGGCGGTGGCGTGAAGGAAGCAAAGGGAGGATAAGAGAAAAGAAAAGGTTGTGTAGGAGGAGGAGTGAGAGGAAATGTGTGAAGGAGGAGTGGCGGCGGGTGGAGAGAAATAAACAGAGCAAAGTGTGAGGGTCACTCTTTTCAGCAGACACTGTTGAAAACCGAGGAAACACGAGGAAGGAGCACTGCAAAAACACAAAATCCTACCAAGCACTTTGGTCTGGTTTCCAGTGCAAATATCTCAGTAAACTTCAAATAAGACAAAACTGACATTCAAGTAACTTTTCAGCAAGAAACAGGAGTTTGTTTTAAGTCAATAATATTAACGAGAAAGTTCCACATGCAGATTATTTCACAACGTGGGAAAAACTAATTCCCGTTGATGTTATTGTTTATCAGCTGATGTTACTTTCAAATAGTTTAAATAATATGGCACACTTGAATGCCAATATGAATTTCAAAATTCAAGTATTTTTTTCTTTTAGTTTATGACTCCTGTAAAGTTAAAATCAATCAATAAAATCAATGGCAACACTGGTGTGATGTAAGCTAACTACAAATGATGCTAATTAGAGATGTTGCTTAGAGCAGCCTAGTTGGTATGAGAGGCCCCAAATGAAAATCTTGGACTGGCCCTGCTTTTGAATTATTAACTTAAAACAAGCTCCTGTCTCTTGCTGAAAAGTTAGTTTTGTCTTATTTAAATTATACTAAGATATTTGCAGCAGAAACTAAACAAAAATACTTGGTGAGTTTTTGTGTTTTTGCAGTGAGAGGGACAGGGCACGGCCAGGTCGGCCAGGGTCAGCTCAGGTCAGGCAGACGTCAGCGTATTAGTGTGTGGGGAAGCAAATCTGCATAATTTGAACTGAGATGACGGTTATGCAGAATCTGAAATACAATCTGTGTGATGGGATGTTGCTGTGAATCCACCACCAACATGAAGCATTAAAATGCTTTATGATGGCGTTTATGTTAGTGATGAACCAGGATAACCAACCAGCGTAGCAGTGATTATGCTCATGATATCTTCAGTCTTCTGCAGAGTCTTTACTCTTAATTTAATCTGTTTGAGAGTTTAGCTGCTGAAAATATGGAGTGTAACAATCTAAAATGCAAGGAAAGTAATAAAAGCCAGTGAAACAGTATGAATGAGGCTCATTCATCTGAAATCATCTACAGCTACCCTGTCTTATAATTAGAGATGCACTGAGAAATTAGCTGGTGACCAGAGTCAGATGACCTTTCACCCAGATCAATGAGCTTCTTCCAGTCAGGGAACGCCACATATTGCCTGACCAAAATGGCAACATTTGTTACATTTTCAGCTTGTGTGGTTCTCTTTCACACTGCACTGTGTAACTAATTGAAAACATGTTCACCTCCTCACCTGTGGTGGCGCTGCACTAAGAACCACAGAAGGAACCGACACAAAAACCTCCAAAGAAGAAATGAGCACAACTTCCTTCTTCATGAAATGTAAACAAAAATGGAGTAGCATCACATTTGAACAGTTTTAGGATTTCTCTTTTGTCTTTGGTAGAAGACAACAAACCGCTTCTCCAGCTTATGCTGGACTCTCATGTTTGTTTTGGTTGTATTTACCCAGAATGCTCTGCTCTGCAGTCTTTGGTCCGCACATATGCATTTGATCTTCAATATGAGTTCAATTAAATCTGACTCACCAGGGCTGGTGTGAATGCACCCTCAAGGAGAAACAATTTGGGCTGAAAATAAAATAAAAACACAATTTGATGTGGAAGTTGTTACTGAAAGAAGTAGATGTAAAATTCTCCAATTTCGGTAGAGCGAGAGATGCAGAAGCTTTGTGAAAAGGAAACAATTTTCTAGGCAGGAATGTCAGCTATTCATTTCACTTCAAGTCTGCAGATGTATGTAGGTCTCTAATGTAAATTAAAACAACAGGGAGTTGGAAGTACATTTTCTTTAATCAACTAATTCAAAATATAAAATGCTTAAATCAAACCTGAACTGGATTTGTTTATTTATTTATTACATTTATTCTAGCTGTTAAAAATAATGATTTCAGTGCTTTATTTGGCATGTAAACCACGTCAGACTGAGGCTAAAATGGATTATTGTACACTGTGCAGACACTCGTTATGTTTTCACAAACATTTCATGAATTTTAAACAGTTTTAAGGAATGTGTTGATTGAAAAACAATTAAAGTTCAAGTTTCAGATTCAGAAGAAAACCTAACCAACGTTAGCAGTTTGCTAAAAGCAGTGTTTGGATTCAGGCGTTTTCACATATACTCTACGTTAGGCTGCAGTTGACACTAAATGCATCCCCTATTGACTCGTATCATGTACTTTTCAGTGGTGCTACAGTTGTTAATATTACATGTGCATATGTTGATTGTTGCTATGGTTACTTGCTTTTGTTTGTCTTTTTTTGCAGGTGTAGAGGCAAACTTCAGGGGCGTTGATTTGCATTCTATCTGCTCTTCTTTCTCTCCTATGCTCTTGTGGCTCTTTCACCCAAATTTCTACTTTAGTTTTCAGTCTCCATGTCCATGACATTTGAAATAAACCCAGAGCAATTCTAGTAAAGTTTTATATACATACATACCAAGTGGAGCACGATATCAAAAGTCATAACGCTTCACTTGTGAAAGTAAATCTTTTGAGTGTCACCTTAACATTCAAATAACAATTCTGACATAAAAAAAAAAGAAGCATTGATAATAAAGTAAAATTCTGCGCCACACGGCGGTGACCCCAGTTTCAACTCCATGAAACTTACCCGCATTGCTTTGCAGATGTCATATCATTAACGGAGAGAGCTCTGTTTTCAACAGTTTGCAACCCGCCACCTAGCTTGGGTTGCTAGGTGACGGGTGGAACTCTGCTGTGGTTGCTAAGTAACGAGCTGTGCCTGCTGATTAGTGGCACATTCCAGAAGTTTTTGACACCAAAAAACTCCCCCATTAACTTAATGCCAAAAATACAGAAGGGTGGATTTCTTTTTAACTGGGCTGTTTTTAGAAGCAGTAGAAACCCAAATGAAAGAAACACATTTATGCAAAACTTTGTATTATGAAATGATAGAACAGAAACAACAGAAAAACATAAATTTGTATACATTTTTTCTCAATAAAATAAAAAAATTATAATTAGAGAACAAATCAAAACAATAGCTTTTATGTAGAATGGAGAAACTAGAATACAAAAATACATTACATTTTAAGAGGGAATCTGAAACTAAAGCATCGATCTTATTATTGATCTGATACTGACCTGGTATCAATATTATCGATAATTTGGATTGATCTGCCTACATCTAATGCTGAGTAAGACAGCGCTACATCATGGTCCTGATTTGAAATTCCTTAAGCATATTTTCGAATGGTATATTTCTTAAAAGGAAAATCGGAAATCAGGTATCGGCCACAAAATCTCTGATCAGTGCATCTCTACTTATAATGACCACAAAGAGCAGATAAGTTAAACAATGAATGCTGTAAATTTTGACTGGTTTGTTTCAATCAAATAAGCATTTTAATGCTAAAAATAAAAGATAAGCCAGAAAAAAACCCAGATACATCCAGAGTTAAAAGCTAAACATGATTGTATTTAGGCAGTTAAATTGTATTACATCAACGTGTTTGTGTGGAAAATGCCTAACTGAAAATATCATGATCCAACAGCAACAGTTGTTCTGCTGTAAATGAAACAGCAATCATCTAACAACACCCTTTCCACTAAACCACCCTGGTGTGAATTTCCTGCTCTGTGTGAAGTGGAAGGAAATAATTTTCACTGCGACGAGGCAGAGGTTGAGACAGGGGGAGCTCAGGGATCTGTCAGGGCCGGTTCTGGGTGGGTGGGAGTTTACCAACAGCTGGACTGGGATTGGGTACTCACAGAACTACTTCCACATGGTCCAGCGCCCACTGGTCATGTCCCGCACCGTCGTGTCTCGGTTGCCACCATCGCAGCATTACGCCTTTAACCCTCGCTTCGCTGGGAAGAACATAGAAACATCGTGGAGTGAGTTAGTGAATCGGCATAAACCAGTGCAACATGCACTTTAAAAATAAAAGGGTTGTTTTAAGTCAGTTAGTATTCTAGTCATCTTAGGCCTTGTACGCAGGTGGATGGAACAAATATGGTATACACACGGGATTGGTTTCCAAACTGTTTTCATCCACATTGCTTTAAACATGCCAGCCCATAGGGGGCAGTGTAGCACAAAGATAGAACCTATGCCAGCCAATCAGATCCTTCAAAACAACCACAACTTCCTGTCAGGAAGTAAAGGTGGCCTATTTTTGCTTATCTTTAATTTCAGTTCATATATTCAATTACTGGCATGTCTAAAGCCTGGGATATTGCGTAATAATTAACCCTGCTTTAAACTTCTGCAGAATATAAACTTTATATAATGTAAACGTTTTTATTAAACTGTTTGTTTTTTGTAAAAACATATTCAGAGGAGTTTTTAAGCCAAAACTGTACAAAAATACATACATTCTGCATTTAAAATAAAAACACTTGTCAAAACTCGTAACGTTTTAGCTTCACCTGGTTCTGATTTAAAGTAACGCTATGTTGCTGCATTTTAGGCAATAAAATATTTGTTTTCTTGTTTATAAAACGGAACTGATTTGTTTATTTACATATTTTAATATATCGCTACTATTGTATAAAAAGGCTTAAGCGGTTAAATTAAAAATCTGCAGAAAGTGTCTTTTTTACCCAATTAATTAATTGTCAGAATAACTGAAGGACTAATCGATTACTAAAATAATCTTTGGTCACAATCACAAATAATCCATCTTTTTCCTGCAGATTGGTGCATTTACTGATAAACTCACAGTGGGATGTTGTAGGAGACTCTCTGGGCCTTTATGAAGTCTTTGGGCTGATGCTGGGCAATGACGTGCCAGCTGACGCCGTTGTTGACGCTGTACTGCAGCAGGACGGCCCGGTCCACTGTGTCGGCCTGATCCAGAGCGATGTTACAGCTGTCTGTCTGTGCTACGCTGCCGATCTGCAGCACAAACATGATCTTACTGCAAGGAGACAGACAGACGGCGGGTTAGAGAGGTGATATGGAGACATCTGGTCTGTTTTAGAGACAAGGAGACATCCTAATACACACCATCTTTTTATGATTTGCTTATGAATCAATCAAGTTGCTTTTCTTTATAAAAACATAATACCATCACCAACTGTGAAACCAATAAATATTACGTTTTGTTTAGTGAAATCATCAAAATGATCAATACACATAAAACATGTTGAATCACAATCAGAATTCCTTTTATTGTCATTTGTGCACCAAGAAAGAATAACGAAATTTAGAAAATGGGACTATCAAAGGCAAGTCAAGTAACTGGATAACATTTATTATTATTTTAGTATATCTCAATAAATATAGAAATGTTGAAGGAACTCAGAACAACTGGGATGTTAATGATGAATAAATAAATAAATGATGATCAGGGTTTTTGGCTGAAGTTAAGGACAAACAGAATAAATATGTTGGTTAATGTTCCAGTGATTATGATTCAAAACTGTAACCAGGTGGGTTTTTAGTCTAGATTTACATGAACTCAGTGTTTCGGCTGTTTTGCAGTTTTCTGTTCCAGATTTGTGGTGCATAGAAGCTGAATGCTGCTTCATGATTGGTTCTGGTTCTGGATGCAGAGCAGAACCAGGAAGGCTGATACAACAGCAGCAGATCTTTAATGTGTTGTGGTGCTAAACCATTCAGTGATTTATAAACTAACAACATGATTTTAAAGTCTATTCTCTGAGCTGCAGGGAGCCAGAGGAAGAACTGTTGAACTGGGTGATGTTCTCTAACTTCCTGGTTTTAGTCAGAACTCCAGCAGCAGCGTCTGGATCTGAGTGATGTTTTTAGTCAGACCTGTGAAGACGCTGTTGCTGTAATCAATGTGACTAAAGATAAACACATGGATGAGTTTTTCTAGATCTTATTAGGACATTAATCCTTTAAACTTAGAAATGCTCTTCAGGTGATGGAAGGCCGACTTTGCAACTGTCTTTATGTGTCTCTGAAGGTTCAGGTCTGAATCCATCACTGCTCCCAGGTTTCAGGCCTCGTTGCTAATTTCTAGCTGTAGTAACTGAATGTTCTGGTAGTACCTGTACCTGGCTCTAGTGAGGTCCAGCGGTTTGGTAACTGCCTGCCTCAGCTTACAGCCACTGAAGTAGAGAGAGTCTCCATGAGCATGTGGAGACAGCTGCCCGCAGCCGCTGCCCACGCTGCCGCCGTGGATCAGCTGCCAGCTCTCCGGAGACACCGCCCCGGACTCGAAGTTGTCCTTGATGGAGCTCGGCAAGTCTGTGCTGGAGAGGGAGCAGTCATCGCCTGTCGGTGGGACAGAAGGAGAGGGAGATGAATTAGAAGTGTTAGATTTCACCAACGCAAGGGCAAAACTACAATGGAGCATCAGGGCCATTGCAGAAAAAAAAAATTACATTTCCACCAAAAAAGGAAGCAGAAATTTTCTAGTAAAAAACAGGGAGATTTCTGAGTTTGAGAAGTAAATAATTTGCTTGTGAAAACTGAAATTTTGAGAATAACCTTAAGATATTTTATAGATTTTTGAAAATTATTTTGAAAATAAGTCAAATATTTTTGATTTTTCAAGCTCAGAAATTTCCAAGTTCTTTCTGGCAAATTATTTTTGAACGAAATGCGATGCGTTTATTATAGCAATAAATCCATTATATCAATTAATTGAAGTTTTGATTTTTGAAGATTAAATTTTTAGAAAATAAATTTATAAGAGAGAATTAAGTAGCAATTTTTATATGAACTTCCACAAAAAAAATTATTATTCAATCTTTTTTCTCATTAAATTGACTTTTTTCTTGTAATTTTAAGAAATTCTTCTGGTAAAATTGCATTTTTTTATTTTAATATTACAACTATTTCCTCATAGTTAAACAAAAACTCGTGTAGCTTGGGTCTGATACTCTGTTGTGCAACTCACAGGAGGGAGAAGTCATGTTTCTATTTTTTATTTTTTGGAAAGAAAGTGAGAAAAATGAAGATTAAAATCAGGCATGGAATAAAAAATCTGGGATTTTATTTTAGTCCGTGTTGCTCAGCCTTGTTGTGACGTACGGCCTGTGACTCACCGTGGTATCCTTCATCGCAGATGCAGACCGCTCCACTCGTGCAGTACCCATGGCCGCTGCAGAGCCCTGGGCAAGCCTCGCCAATGTAAACGTTATCCACTCCCCAGCTGTGCCTCTCTCCTGTTCCCTCCTTCTGAATCCAGCGGAACTGCGTCGCTCTGAAACATCGACCAGTTTGCGGATGCTTCACGCTGATGTCGTGGAAACTCAGCAGTGATCTTGTGAAACGCGTCGTCTCGTTTCTTACCCTGAGGAGACGTGGTCCGGCAGCTGGACCGTGACTCTGGTCCAGGCGGAGCTGTTAACCGGACTGTAGATGGTGGATTCGTGGAACTGGAAGGGGGAGCAGCCAACGTTGTTCACAGATGAAGGAAGACACTCTGACTGGACCAGCTGCCATGAGTCGGACCTGGTGAGGTTAAAGGGACAGCTCAGGATTCTTAAAATGAGGTCTTGTAGATATACACAATATGTTTTTTGCCCAAATGCGACCGGCATTCACTGAAAGTCCCAATTCCGATCTTTTCACTCCACCCAAAAAAATCTGATCTTTGCCAATCTGATCTTTGAAGTACTAGTTTGGATCTGGTTGTTTTCAAAATGCACCACAGGAAATAATTTCTACCTGTAGCCACTCATTTATAGGTTATTTATAGATTAACATATTTGCATGTGCATGCCTGTTATTTCATTTATTTATTTATATTCAGTCATGTTTGAATTACCTAAATCACTCTTAAGTATATATACAGAGACCACTTAAAATGATCAGTTTCTCTGATTTTACTGAGTGAAATGAACATTGTTCTTTTATTCTATGAACTACTGACAACATGTGTCTGAAATTACAAGTAAAAATTTAGTATTTATTTGCAGAAAATGAGAAATGGTCAAAATAACGAAAAAGATGCAGAGGTTTCAGACTTTAAATAATGCAAAGAAAACAACAATGCTAATGTTTTAAATCAGAGATCAATCTCTGGTGGAATAACCAGGAGGTTTTCAGAGCAGTGGGCTCTTCATTTACCCAGAGCCATATATTTTATAGCTTATGGTTAAATTTGTACTATTAATATTTTGAACACTTAGGATGGAGTAGCTTGTCAACTAATAAGCAATTTCCCCTTGGTGATCAATAAAGTATATTCTATTCTATTCCATTCTAACTAGTACTTTTTTATATCAATATTAAGGAATTATTTACTTAAAACAAGTTCCTATATGGGTGCACTGATTAATCAGTGCCAATTTCTTAATTTTGGGGGATCAGGCGATACTTTCATGTAAAGATGATCTTATCTACCTCAGCAAAGGTCTAAAAATCAGCCGCTGTTCTGTTCTGCTGTGAGGCAGGTAATCGTCACCCCACAGTTAGCAAATCAGCAACTTTCTTGTTATATTTAGCGACATTTCGACATTAGGCAATTGGTATCGCCTAAAATTAGAATCGGCAGATCAGGCTGTATAAAGATCAGTAATCTGCGATCGGCCAGAAAACTGCAACTCCTATTCCTACGGCTCGTTAGTTTTGTCTTATTTCAAGTGTATGAAGACAGTTGCACTAGAAAGTAGAACAAAAACTAGTAAGACTTTGTGTTTGCAGCGTAGGCTGATTGTTCCCTTGTTTCTCTCACCGTGCGTCCTTCCTGTACTGCAGCAGGACAGAGTGATGATCCTCGCATGTGTCTGCCTCACAGCCGACAACAATCTGCAGAAACGAGACGTTTAGGACCTAAAAAACCATAAAACAGACGCCACTGTGAGCACGCTTTCATTCTTACCTTAAACTGTAGAATATATCCGGGCTGAACTATAAGCTCTCGAGTGGCAAGGATGTTGTGTGTCCCGTCTTGGTTCTTGTTCGGCCAGTAGAGGTGAAATGAGGGATTTCCACAGAAGCCGGCGGTTCGCACAGCGTTAGGGTAGAAACTCCAGCTTTCCTCATGAGAAACGCCCTCTAGTGGAAGAAAAACAAATGGTTCATCAGGAATGTGGTTAAACCAGGGTCTTCACTAAAGAGGTGTAGAAAGAAAATTATTCTATAGCAAAAAATGATTCTATGAAGAATCTGAAACAATTCAAAATTCTCAAAAATCTATTTTAGTCTGTTTCAATTTTTAGAAAACTAAAAAACTAAGTATGTGTTGGGCAATATATATTTTTTAAGCAGTCAATTTTTTTTAGGAAATAAATTTATATCTACAAAATAGGGATTTTGTAAATGTAATATATACATTTATTTATATTTTGTATATTTTGTGTTTTACATTTGCATATATTTTTAAAAAATAAATAAATAGAATTGTTTTGTATAATCCTTTAGAAAATACATCTAATTTATTTTGTATGTTGTATATATTTTTACATTTTATTTTGTAAAATTACATCTACAAATTATATATTTTTAATATTTTTTCACTTGAGAAAAGACCAGGCGGCCTAGTTAGCCTAATACCGGTAATATAACTTACATAATTTTATGTATTTTTGTTTAAATATAAACTGCTAAATTTTGACAGTGTGTAACATTTTATATATGTTTTAAGTAAATGCTCTATTAGTTTACATCGTCTTTTCCTCTCGTTAGTCACATAATTCAAACAGAATCTTCAAACTGTTTGAATAGAAAATTTGGTTTGAGTCAAATTGTGACCCTAAAAGTTGGAATCAAATCACTAAACACAGACAGATTTGCATCCAAACTCACCATCATCAAAGGTGTCCAGCAGTGTGGATGGGTTGATGTCTGACCCTCCCACCAGGATGTTGTCTATGGCCCACTGAGCTCTTTCCAGGCTCGGGGTGGCCAAGCCTGAAGAGATGGTGAAAGGCTGCCACCATCGCAGGCGTGTGGCGTTAGTCAGCGCCACCTCTGGCAGAACGATGTAGTCTCTCCTCACGGACACGTACTTCAGGTAATCCATCTCATGTAGCAGAGTCCAGGACACACCTGAGTATTCAGAGAGTTACATGAAAGGTGACCTACTGCGCTTCCTTGATGGGTCTATGGGTGATACAAAACATGTTCCTTATACTTTTAGAACAAAAGTCACTTTAAATTCGAATCAGACGTTGCTGTCCACAATGCCAAAACAAAATTGTACCAAATATTTTTGGTCTATTTTCCGAAAAACTAACTTAAGTAGCTTTTCAACAAGATATGAGCTTGTTTTAGGCCAATTACGTCTTAATTTTGATCAAAAAGTACTAATTCCACAGGCAGATTATTTCACTTATAACATGGGAAAAATGTCTTATCAGTGAAAAGATATGCCAGTGGAACTAGTAATTTTTAATCAATATTAAGGAATTAGTTATATAAAACAAGCAGAAAAAGCTACTATTGTCTTATTTTATGCATACTAAGATATTTTCACAAGAAATTAGACCAAAAATACTTGGTAGCATTTTGTGTTTTTGTAGTTCTTGGCCCCTCAACTCAGCGTTTACACTCGTATGTGAAAATGGCTGAAAACAGATGTGCAATTATACACCGTACATGTTTGAAAAGCATTAATTGAGCATCCTGCACAACCAACAAGAATGCAGCAAGTGGTTTCTGTCAAGAACAAAACACTTGTTTTTTCCAGCAGCCATTGTACAGCGCATGCAGCGGTAAAACCAGGTGACCAAAGGTGCGGGAGGTCAGCTTGGATTGCTAGGTAACAGCCTGAGCTTTGCTGACCTCCATCAGTGGAGTAATCCAGCAGGACCCCCTCTTTACGGCACGTGGGACGGTGGCACATGGTCATGTTGTCGTCACTTCCGATCCTGGCCCAGTACTCCACAAACCTATGAGCAGAAACATAAATAACGCAACAGAGTTAAGGAGTTTCACTAAACAGAATCTTCTCCCTAAGAGTGATGGGACTCACTTGGCCCCCCGCAGGTCCAAATCAGCAGTGACGGCCTGCCTGGCATCAGCTCCTCCAAAATACAGAGCAGTGCCCTCCACCAGAACGCCACAGTCGGTGCAGGGCTTCCCGCCCTCCAGCACCTGCCACTGAGGTCCGGCCCCCCCTTCCCAGTCAAAGCGCTCCTTCAAAGATGCCTATAGAAAAGAAACAAGTGTTAAAAAAACAAAACAAAATCACACAGTGGATTGGAAATGCGTTCACATGCCTGACCATTTTCACATTTCCTCACAACATTTCATCATGTTGTTTTAGGGATTGAGGTAAAATGTAAGTTATAAAGCATGTTTGTGAAATTGAAGAAAGGTGAACTGAAAAGTGTGGTGTGAATTTATTTTCAGCCCTATTGAGTCAATACATAAAGCTGCAGTGTGCAACTTTTAAAATATGTCACTAGGTCATGATTTAGTGATTTTTTTACAAAGTCAAAATCCCTGGTTTTATGGTGCTAGTTTAGACATTTTTTAAAGAATTTTTCCAATATTTGTGCTCCTGTAGGACCGTAATTGTGACTTCTTTTCCCGCCATATTGATCACAGACATCAAGTTAGGTTAATTCAGTAAAAGTAAATACTGCTACATTCAGGGTGGAGTTGGTAATTTAAGCCCAATGTTTTTAAACATTTTTGTAGAAAATTTGCAATAAATTGAAAACTACACATTAGTGTGGAAACGTGCAGCAATCTGTTGATTTTGTGTGAATGTCTGCATTGTGGAATTGCAACAAATGGTCTAAAAATGGCAGAAAACAGATAAAAATCTGATTTTAGTTGATTGTTAAAATAATATTTAAGCAGACAGTTACGATCTTGATTTTATTTAAGTGTCCCTATGTACTGTAGAGGGTCAAATAAAAAGCTATTGCGGGCCAGATTTGGCCCCTGGGCCTCAGGTTTGGCCCCCAGGCCTCAGGTTTGGCACACATGCTTTAAACCATCTCTCACTTCATTCTTTCACTGAAGGAGACCCATAAAGACCGATTAAAAGCTACCTTTAGGGCGGTACTGGCGTAACAGTTGGGTCCGGTGAATCCTGGATCGCAGATGCAGCGCTGATCCAGACAGTCTCCGTGTCCCCCGCAGTGGCCGTCACAGGGCGGCCCGATGTACAGGTTCTCCACACCCCACTGGATGTCCGAGTGCTGCTGGTAAAACCGGAACCGCACCGCGCTTGGGACAAGAACAAGCCTCATTCAGCAACACAGAATCACATCACTAATTAAACTTTCAGTACACGAAGCCTTTGGCTAGACTTTCATTTTATTTGATAATCAATAATTATTGATTGTTTTTCTGTTTTAAACATCTAAAATGATGCCAAACTGGTGCCATGACATTTCCTCCTTTATCCAGAGTTTTCACTCAACACGTCTTTTTTATCTTTAAGCCGATAAGAAGCACGGTGGCAAAACCTTAAACTGCTGCTGCGCCAGTTACTCAACTGGCTGTTGCTAGGTAACCAAAGAGTGAGAGAGTTGCTAGGTAACCAAAGAGTGAGAGAGTTGCTAGGTAACCAAAGAGTGAGAGAGTTGCTAGGTAACCAAAGAGTGAGAGAGTCAGTTGATTCCACCAATCTTGCTTAGCCGGTTATAAGAAGCTGAGCAGGTTAAGCCTTTCTTCTTTCCCAGCATGCTGTGCGGTTCTGGATCGGAGTTAAGTGAATATTCTGTATATCCTCATCTTCCTAAAAGGTTTTTTTTTTTTTTTTTTTTCAAAAAAAAAATTTAGGGTTTTTTTTCAAAAATTTAATTTTGGGAAAAAATTTTC